AGATTTTCCCTTCAGGGCATGTTTGTTCATCAGAGATGAGAGAGACAGAGGCAGAAAGCAGTAAGTCAGTCCCCTTGGGGGATGACCACACTGCAGTCCCTTTTCCTCCATTCTCCTTTCTTATTCTTGGACACACAAGCACATACACTTGGCATGAGTTTCACCTCATCAGATATGGGATTCAAACTGCAGTCAGCCATATAGGAGTCCAGTGCCTTAACCACTATGCTATCTGTTGACCCATGGTATGTAACTTTTTATAGAATCACTATTTCTCTCTTTTTAATGTTGTATCAATTTTGTATTCTCTAAGTTTTTGTTCTTTGACAATCTTCCATGCAGGTGTATTTTTTTTTAATTGAAGTATAATTTATTTAATAAATTACAAAGTAATGATTTTAACAATAAATATTTTTTGCTTAGCAGCAAATTAAGATAGATTACCACGTGAGTATTTTTGGAATTGGGTATATAAAACTACACTATATGACTCTATTTGGGATAATGATTATTCCAGTATTCTAAAGCTAGTATTTCTCTTTCAGAGAATTATTTTATTTGATATTATTCATTGTCACTATTTATTTTATTTTATTTTCATTTTTTGAAGTTGATCAGAGAGAGAGAGAAGGAAACTGAGAAAGCAAGCTTCCAGGTCCTGGACTTGAACTGTAGTCAGCCATGTAGGAGTCCGGCCACCCCAACCATGATGCCACCTGCTGGTCCTAAATCTAATATTTCAAATAGAGTTAATTTCAAGATTTTATGTTCAGGGGCCATTCATTTTGTAATGTGTTATGACATAGTGGTTAAGTCATTGGACTTCCACATGGCCAACCATAGTTCGAGTCCTGGAAACAGTGGCTTAAAACTCACTCCTGGCTGTGTGTCTACGTGTGCCCCTCCAAATCCCTGGTTGAGAATAAAGAATGATGGGTTGTGGAATGACCATCCCTTGGGGGGAGGGACAAATTCTCATTTTGCTATCATTGTCTTTCTCTGTCTTTTTAATGAGTTCGTGTGCCCTATGATCAAATCTTACTTTAAAAAAAAAAAAAACCTTTATGTTCATACTTATTATTTTGAATTGGCAGTAGAAAGTTTTCATGTTGAATTTCTGCCTATGTACATTGTACTCTTTTAAAGAATATTAACAGTAAAATACAGGGAGCCAGCAGTTAGTGTAATGGCTATGTCACTGGACTCCCATGTAGTCGACCGTGGTTCGTGTCCCAGACCCGGTGGCTTAAAACTCACGCCGGGCGCGTGTGCATGTGTGCCCAAGATACCGAGAGGAGAATGGAGGAGAAGGGATTGCAGCGTGACCACCCCCACTGGGGGGTGGTTTCTCGCTTTCTGTCTCTATGTCCCTCTCTGTCTGTCTGGCGAGCACACGCGCCCTATAGCAAAAATCTCTCTCTCAAAAAAAAAAACAAACCAGTATAATACAGAGTTTCTAAACATTTTCTTCTTTCTACAAGTTCATTTATTATTAACACATTATAAAATTAAGATATTTCAAGTTAGATGTTATAATTTATGAATTATTTATAATGACAATGAAATTGGGGGGGGCGGGAGGTTTTTTCTATAGGGCACGTACACTCGCCAGACAGACAGAGAGACAGAAAGTGATAAAGCACCCCCCCGCCACAATGGCCACACCGCAATCCCTTCTCCTTCATTCTCCTCTTGGGATCTTGGGCACGCATGCACACGCGCCTGGTGTGAGTTCCAATCTACCAGGTCAGGGACGGGAACCGAGTTTGAATACATGGAGTCCAGCAACATAGCCACTACACTGACTGCTGGTCTCCAACACTTTAAATTTCTTTAGCTTTTAATTTTTTGGACAGGTTTTTGCTATAGGGCCTTGTGTGCTTTCTAGAAAGATAGAGCCAGCGAGACAGAAAGTGAGAAATCACCCCTAAGGGGTGATGACCATGCTGCAAGCCCTTCGTAATCATTCTCCTATTGGGATCTTGGGCACACACGCACACATGCCAGCCATGAGTTTAAGGCACCAGGTCTAGGACTAAAACCATGGTCAGCTATAGCGGAGTCTAGCTACATAGCCATAATATCAACTGCTGTTCCTACTTGAGATTTTCTAAAATTGGGACCAGCAGTTTCGTGGTAGTTAAAGTGTTGTGAACTCCCACAGGGTTGACCATGCTTTGAGTCCTGGACCTGGTGACTTGCTTTCTCACTTTCTCACTTTCCCCCTCTCTCTGTCTTTCTAACTAATTAAAGACTAGTTAGTTAGAAATTTAATTATCTAGAATTTTCTTTTTTAATTTATGTTTCCATTTCTAAAATCCATGTGCTTTTTCTTGATTTGGAATAATAAACATTAACTTCGTTTGCTGGCCTCTTTTCATTAGGCCTCTTTTCATTATTTGGACTAAACATGGCAATTGTATTATTTTTTCATTGTCATAAATTATCTCAAAACTGATAAAAAATAGTGAGGATAATTTTTCTTTTCTTTTTTTAATTTTATTTATTTATTTACTTATTTTATTTTGACCAGAGAAACACAGAGAGACAGAAAGAAACTGAGAAAGCAAGCTATCAGGTCCATCACTTGAACCATGGTTGGCCACGTGGGAATGTCCAGCACCTTAACCACCACACCACCTGCTGGTCCCTTAGGATAATTTTTCTAATTAATCAGGTCAAAACAACTTAATAACTTTAGCATTTTCAGCTCACTATAAATTAAACAGATTCATTGCTTCATTATCTTCCTATAAAATGGTGTATATTTAATTCTTCATAGTATATTCAAGGTATGTTCATAGAAATATAATCACATATGCTCTTCTTACTTTCCAATGGAGTTAATAATCTCCATTGTGTAACTTGTCAGCACCATCCCCTATTTTTTCACTTGCTTCCTAGAAAACCATCTTTTTAAACTTTATTTCCATGTTTGTAATTCTTTTATCCCACTGTCTAAATAGTGTTTTACAGTTAACACTTGGATGAATAAATAAATTTCAAATGATCCTCAGTTACTTTAATGTTGTATTTTGTTTCTCTTCTTGGGATTTTGGGCATACACAGTCATGCCACTGGTGTGATTTTTCAAGCCAGTTGGTGGGGCAATGGTTGTCCCTGTAGGCATCCAGTGCCTTAACCTGCTGCCTGTGGACCTAATAGGTTTTGACAAGTAGATATTGTCAGAGAAGGGTGAATTGCTAATATATCGGGAATTTGTAGAAGTTAGGAAAATTGCTGGGAAATGAGGTATATTCTTTGGGAAGTTTATTGGATCATCATGGAATTCTTTCATCTCAATGTAATAGCAGTTCATTGTGATCCTCTGCTATAGCCTAGCGGTTAGTAGAGATTATAGGTACACACTGCAGTGCCTGGACTGTTTAGGCACTGTCTTATATCTGAACCCACAACTCCATGTAGCCCTGTAGGTTGTACCATTAAAACTGTGCTAATATTTTGAAATTTATAGCCTAGCGGTTAGTAGAGATTATAGGTACGTACACACTGCAGTGCCTGGACTGTTTAGGCACTGTCTTATATCTGAACCCACAACTCCATGTAGCCCTGTAGGTTGTACCATTAAAACTGTGCTAATATTTTGAAATTTTTACTTAGCAACATGAAAACCCTGGCCTTTAATAAGTGGATGAACACCAATCTGTTCTGTGGCACCTCCTATTTTTGGTTTCCAGCCACTGGAGATTTTTTAACCTGACAAAAGATGTCACTGTGCTTTATGCAATGGTAAGGCCTAAAATATGGGCCCTAAAAACTATTATGTAGAGTAAGTTCAGATGTCTTAAAATGCAAGTTACAATTGATTTTTCTTTTTTTTTTTTTTTTTTTTTGAGAAGTTTTTGCCATAGGGCGTGTGTACTCGCCAGACAGATACAGAAAGTGAGAAATCACCCCCGGGGGGATGGCCACCCCACAGTCCCTTCTCCTCCATTCTCCTCTCGGGAGTTTAAGCCACCAGGTCCGGGACACAAACCACGGTCGACTATATGGGAGTCCAGTAACATAGCCATTACGCTAACTGCTGGTCACAATATTATTTTCATTAAATAAGCGCAAATGTGACAAAAATTTTGCATATTTATATTCACACATTTTTCAGTCTATAATCTAATCTCTCAATAATTTAGTAATGTTAGATTTATTTACTTTCTTTTTAAGGTCCATTTTATTAACTGGAATTGTTGGAGTGTGAGGAAAGCTATTTTGAGAGGGGGGAATGTAGAAAAAAATTTCTCAACTTAAAAGGGCACTAAATATATATACACACACACACACACACACATATATACATATACACATATATTTTATATTTTTATAATTTACATATAGTCATGTAAGTTCACTAATATTTATTTTTTTAAATTTATGTATATATGAGTATATGTATGTACATAAGATGTGTAATCTTTGAAGAGTTGAGCTTTAGGAATAGGCAGATTTATTAAGCTTTCAAAGTAAAATTTCATCTTAATGACAGGAAGAATGAGAGTGAGGAATGAGGAGACAGAAAAGGAAGGGAAAAGGAATTTCATGATAATTTTTATGATTGGTATGTGACTTAAAAAATATCTCCATGCATAGGTTTTCTGAGTGTAATTTTGAAAAGTTCTCTTCACTAAAACCTAAAAAGGGGGGCATGGGCTTAATTGATAAGTAAAAACCATTCGTTTCATGTCTATAATTTAGTCATAATTATACTTTGTGATTGATTTGTATTAACTCTTGGTTTTAAAGATAATGCTTGTTTTATAATTGCTTTTTAGATAGTTTTATAAATTTTTTTTTGAGTGTAAGTCATTTAACTCTGAAAAAAATTAACACTCATTTCTTGAGTTCAACAGATGGCATAATGTTGCTATACTCCAACATAGTCAAGTCCCAGACTTGGCTGCTTACACACTCAAACCTAGTGCATGTGCGTATATGCTCAAAATTCTTAGAGAATGGAGAAAGGATTGCAGTGAGACCAACCTTGCCCTCCTAACGCTCCACCATGCCATCACTTCGGGATGATTTCTTGCTTCGCTGTGGGGATGATTTCTTGCTTTCTGTCTCTCTGTCTTCCTTTTTATCTCTGGCAAGCACATATACTGTACATTACAGTTCTCTCTAAAAAAACTCATTTCTTTTCTGTTGTGACTATCATAATATACTTTTTAGAAATGTTATATATTTGAAACTAAATATAAAGGAAAAAATGGCCATTAAAAAATATGTGGGAGAACAGCCAATGGACTAATGGCTACGTCGTTGGACTCCCTGTGATCAACCCAGGTTCAAGTCCCTGAGCTGGGTTAAACTCATGCTGGGCACATGTGCGTGCGTTCCCAAGATCCTGAGAGGACAATGGAGGAGAAGGGATTGTGGTGTGGCCATCCTCCCAGAGTGAGTTCTCGCTTTCTGTTGCTCTGTCTGTGTCTCTCTCTGTCTTTCTGGTGAGTACACGCACCCTATTGCAAAAACCACTAAAAAAAAATACATTTTTATGTGTGTGCGTGTGTGTGCACTGGGACCAGAAGATGGCATGGCGAATGCAGTGCTGGACTCCTCATTGAAGTATCAGACTGCAGTGCTAAACCTGAAGGCCTGAAAAAAATCGCACCAGGTGTGTGCGTATGCGCCAAATCTAAAGAGCATGGAGGAGAACAGATTGTGTCATAGCCACTCCCCCTTTTTTAGGGGGCATGCTTTCTGACTTTCCCTCTCTCTGTTTCCATTGAGCTCATGTGTCCCACACAAGAAAGTAAAAAAAAAACAAACATACATTTCCTTGGGGACAGCAGGTGGCATGATGTAAGGTGGTTGAACTCCCATGGCTCACTGTAGTTTGAGTCCTGTACCTGAAAGCCTGCTTTTTCACTTTTTTTCCCTCTCTCTGGTCAACTTCAAAAAATAAAATAAAAAATGACAATGAATGAAAAACAAAACAAAACAAAAAAACAACTTCCTTTATTTCATAGAAACTCTACTTTTTAAAGTATTAAGTAAAAATACTTTTTAAGTATTAAGTATACATTCATATTTAAAAAGAGAATCTATTAGTATATGTCAAGATATAGAAGTGTAATATTTCTGATTTTAAATCCCTTTTAATTAAATTAATTAATTAATTGAGGGATTGAGGAATTGAGAGATACATATATGTATATGTGGATACATATTCAGGCACCTACAAAAATCTCTTCTATCATCCTCACCTGTCTTAGCTCACTGGTATCATAGGTACCCATGTGTGTGGGTTTCCCCTGCATATTCAGAGAAGCCTTAGAACTCAAACAGAGGACAGTCCCCACATTGGTTATGTTGCATTTGCCCTACCTACCTTCATACCCTAAGATTTAAAAATTTTTTTTAGAACTATAAATAAATAGATTTTAAAAAGTATTTAATAATGACTTATAGTCAGTGTTTTCCTTGGTAGATTTAATTTCATATTGTATTAAAAACAAAAGTTTGCTGGGATTGGCAGGTGGCATGGTGAATAGAAGTGCTATATTCCCACATGGTCAACCATGGTTTGAATCCCAGAATTGGTGGCTTGCTTTCTCGCTTTCCCTTTTTCTTTTTCTCTCTGGTCACAAATGGGACTAACCAACTAAACAGATAAAACTTTAAAAAAAAGTTATTTGCCTAGCATTTGCTTATGTTTTATAATATATATTACCCTTACTTCTGTCTTACTTTATTACCTTAAACATGGCTCAGTTTTAATTGATATATTTCTGTGATCCGTTGCAGTTCAATTTCATATTGCCCACGTGTATGAAACCCAGGTAAGTGCTTTAACTACTCTATCATAAGATAAGCATTAAGAATAAAAACTTAATCTATGCATTAAGTGAAATAAAATGTACCAGCTTTATGATTTAAATGAAATAAGTATATCAAGATAATATAATGAATTTAAATTGTAGAATCACATTTAATGTTTTATCATCATTTTGTATATTTGAATTTTATCATTTGTCAAATGATTCAAATGATGAAATTTGATGTTATATTCAGTAAGTTTATAGTAGTTATTAACTACTTTAAACTCTGTATTGTTCAATTCATTCTCTTAGAATCTTTGTATTTTATTATTTAATATGATTTACTAATGTGGCTATACTGAAGAATCTTTCCTCTATCTTTATATGTAATGTTCAGTTTTCTTTTTAAAATATCTATAAATGGTTTTAATAAGAATCTGCAGTGAAGCATTCTTCTGTTTTTCTCCAAGATTGAGACATCTTACCATTTGAAACAGCAGTGGTAGAGTTCACAACACTGCAAGTTTGTTTTAAATATGATTTCAGCTTAATTCTAATAATATACTGCTGTCTATGGCACCTTTCTTTGATTGTGTCATTAAAAACAGTAAGAACTGGGACCAGCAGTTACCGTAATGGCTATGTCTCTGGACTCCCATGTAGTCGAGCGCAGTTCGCGTCCGGTTCTCCCCAAGATCCCGAGAGGAGAATGGAGGAGAAGGGATTATGGCGTGTCCATCCCCCATGGGGGGTGATTTCTCGCTTTCTGTCTCTCTCTCTCTCTCTGTCTGTCTGGCGAGTGCACACACCCTATCACAAAAACCTCTCCAAAAAAAAACCCAATAAGAACTTACAGATGTATTGTCTGTGGTACAAAATTCTGATGAAATCAGTAGGAGTTTGAGTTGAATTTATTTATTGGGTCATTGGGAAATAATGACTCATTTTACATACTAAAACATAGACAAATACATCATGACTATCCAATATAATACAAATTATTAAGAACCCTGCATTTCAGTTGTGAAGTATAACATGCAGTTAACAGAAGAAAAATGTATTAAGCCAGCCCTGGGCCTACCAGTTAAAGGAGCCAGATCCTTCCTATATGGCTGACCAGTTGGACTTCTGGCCTTGGTGGCTTTCAAAACACAGGAAGCATATCTTTATGTGTCCCAAATGTCTACAGAATGGAGGAAAAGTGATGCGGCATGACCGTGCTAAATTATGGAATGATTTCTCCAACTTCCTTTTTTCTTTATCTCTCTCCTTGGCAATTTCAGGCACCCTCTCGCAATCAAAAGGAAAGAAAAGCATTTTATTTGTGTATATATTTGTGAGTTTTCTTATTAGTAAGTAGAAAGTAATGAGCTTGGCTCAGGCCCAGTGGGTTCAAACAAAAACACTAGGGGTGTTTATTGTAATGCTCAGAATCTAGAGAAAATGGAGAAAACTTTGTGATGTGACTATGCTCTATTGGGGTTGCTTTTTTCTCTTTCTCTTTTCTCTCTTTCTCTCTGTGAAGAGTACCTGCACCTTCTGAGAATAAGAAAAACCAGCAAATTTTTAAAAGAAAATAATAAGGTAGAAGTGGTGTAAATTCATTTAATTCTTCTAGGAGTTATTTTGCGACATAAGTGGCCCTTAGAAAAAAGCATTTAACAGGCAAAAAAATTAAGATAATTTGTTGGCAATGAAATATATGTTAATATCCCTTATCTAATTTTAATGATATCCTCTGCATGCATGCTTTGAAAACCATATTCTAGGGGTCTAGCAGGTGGTATGGTAGTTAAGGTGTTAGATTTCCACATGGCTGCCCTTGCTCAAGTCCCAGACTTAGTGACTGCTTTCTCACCTTCCTTTTATATCTCTGTGTGTTTCCCTCTGGTTAAATGAAAAAAATCAAGAATAATAAATAAAATTAAACAAATTATTCTTCAGAGAAAAAAATAAGAGGGACCAGCAATGGCCTAGAGGTTTTGTTACTAGAATCCCTTGTAGTTGACCATGGTTTGAATCTGGACCCAGCAGTTTAAAACACACACTGGGCAGATGTGTGTTATGCCTACTATCCCAAGAAGAGGCTAAAGGAGAAAGGACTGTGGCATGGCCATCTTCCCTACAGGGTGATTTCTTGCTTTCTCTCTGTTTCTGTCTCTCCAGCAAGCATATGCAACCTATAGCAAAAATCTCTTTTTTTTGAAATTTTTTTTATTTAATTTATTTCTTTTTGTA